CTCCAATATTTTTTGTATATTTGGGGATTTTGTTTAAGACTTTCAAGAGAAGATTGCGACCAAGTGAAAAGCCTTCGAAGTTTGGTACCCAAGGAATTAGCGAGAGAACGGAGAATCAAATTGAAAGTGCTTGTGGTTAATGATTACAATTGATCGTGTGCGAAAGAGCTTCAAACTTTGGTACTCAAAGTAGTAGCAAGATTCGTTAAATCAATTGGGAGCTTTTGTGTCTTGGTCTTGTTTAAGATCAAAGAAAGAGAATGGGTTGAATCAACATCAAACAGTTAGGATTTGTAGGGTTGCTCTTGAACACTTCTCTTATAATCATGTTTTTTACAAAGTAAGGAATTTATCTCAATTCCAAAATAGAATTGGGGGAAGACGTAGCCATAGAAAGGAAGAATGGTGAACTCCCTAAACAAATCCTCGTATTTCTCTCTCTTATCTCTTTACTTGCTTTACTTTTCATTAAGCAATTTGTTAAATAACATTGATTAATCGATCGACTCGTAAGAATTTTTCTGTGGTTGTTTTTGTTTTGAATTGGTTGTTGATTAACTTATAATCACTTTGATTATAAGTGTTTTTTCATATCAACACAACTCAAGGAAAAATTCTGAAAATTCGTTCGCACACTAAGTTTCCAATGATTATGTTCGTTTAGACTACTATTTTGATCTATGCCAAAAACCTTCCGCTCAACATTATTTTTCAAATAAATTTTTAAATACCTATGTTTGAAAGGTAATTTTTAATTGGGGATATATTCACCCTTCTCTAGATAAGTCGCAATAGTCTAACACATGCAAATAATGAGATTATTATTGAGGCCAAATCCATGTATTTTTCTAGTTCCAAAGATAACAATCATATACTAGCATCTAGAGCGTACTTTGGGGTCATTGAGGAGATTTTAGAGTTTGACTATGTTAATTTTAAAGTGTCTTTATTTAAGTGAAAATGGATTGACTGTAACACCGGTGTAGAAACCGATGAATTAAGATTCACACGGGTTGATCTTCAAAAGGCAACTTATAAGAACAAACCATTCATCATGGCAATTCAAGTAAAACAAGTTTTTATGTCACTGATCCTACTAACACTAGATGGTCAAATTGTTCTTCAAGGAAAACACCTTCCTGATAGTAATGATAAAAATCAAGATGTGAACTATAATACCCCTTGTTTAGCAACACATGTATGACCATTATTTGAAGAAAATAACTTAGATGATGTTCATGTTATTCATTGTGATCATGAAGGGATGATATGAGAAAACTAGCAAGTAAATATTTTATATCGCTTAGTAATTTAGAATTATTTATTTTACTATTTTTCCTTATATTATAGATTTCAAGTAGTTGTTGATTATCCTAATTGGTTTCAAATGTTGTTCATAGGTGTTTAACGATCAGTGACAAACCCTATTGGACTACCTACAACTTTTCAGTTTAGTTATTGCTTTTGTTGGTTATTCATTTGTTTTAGTTTTGTCGTAAAATCATAAAGTGTGTGTCATTTTGGGTTTGCGTTTGGTGTAAACAATCAATACTTGTAGTGCAATGTTTCAGATTGAGAAATTGGCAAAATGTACAATATTTATGTTTTAGGAATCTGTAAAATATTGTTCTATATTATGTAATATGTTTATGTAATATAGGTGCATACGACATTACTAACAAAATGTATCCCCTTGATTTTTAATTAAAACCAAGGTAATAACACTGAGTTGTTGCCTCGATTCCACACAACGCCGAAAGTTAATATTGGGTGTATCATCCAGTTACGAAAATAATAAAAATGCAGATGTTGGAGGATCAAACTCATGTGCATATAACGTTACCCATCGACTTTTTAATAACCGAGGGGTAAAGTGATAACTTTTCATGACGTTCTTCCTTACATCGCTTTCGTAGCCGAGGTTAAATATATTTCGCGTCCGACATCAAATGTGTTTTTTTTTGTAGTAGTAAGTGATTCAGAATATCCTTGTTGGACGTTGAACAAGCTCGTTGTTGATACCTTTCTATGCTTGCTAGTAGAAAAGTGTTGTATCATCTTCATGGTCAGGTCTTGATAGTTGACAATTGAAAATATGCTTAAACTCATATTCCATTTCAGGGACAAGTCTTTAAATGTTCCCGACAAGAATTTGTATTTTAGAGAATTGATGGCACCAACGATTGTCATCTGATTGTTGACTGCAATGATATGTTCCTAAAGATCACTCTTGTCATTGAAGAACATCAAGGGTGATGGTTTAAAATTTTCTATTACTTGATCGTCTTATATCACCATTATTAGAGGTTGAGGATCCAGAAGTTTCTCTTATACCTCCTCCTACTAACTCTAAATTTACTGATATATATGAATGCTATCTTGCAAAATTAAATTATTAATTAATTAGAGTTAATTGGGATGATCTAAAGCTAAACTCTATATTAAAGATTGTCATCCTAACATTATAATTCAACCGATCATTAATGAATATGAGATTCAATTGAACTCTCGCAAATATTATTTTAGTTTTAGTTGGAAAAAAATTTAATCTAATATTTTTTTGATAAAGTTTATTAAAACATAGTAATTAATTTTCATGTAATGAAATAGATGCCGGCAAGGCCAGTAAAATATGGTCACAAAAGCATACATTTATGTCACCTCACATCATTCTCTTACATTGTGTGGTTTTTTAATGGCTACATCTTACACAATGCCATCCACAGTAAGAAACCTTATACATTATTCAAAATATATCGTATTGTGATTTGTAGCTTTAATGACCACATGTCTTGATTCAGTCAAATTCCAGTGAATTTTCTATCTGGTATTCCAGTCGTATAATAAGTGTCAGTTCCAAAATATCATTTTCATCTTTTAATATAATATAAATGAATTTTCATCAATCAATTGCCTTTTTAATTGATATTATGTTTATCACTTCAAATTATTATATTTCAGTAATATATTTAAGATAATAGTAAATACACTCAATACACCATAATAAATTAAAAAGTGTAACATTGGTTATAACATTTAAATATCATGTGACTTTTTTTATAGCAAATATAATGTGCTTTTAAATATTAAACTTGTTGAATACTTAAATGACAAGAATTAAAACAACGTTAACTGTACTATTAATTTATTGACAATTTGTATAGCTATATATTTTATCTTTTAGGATAAAGATAGATACATTTCACTACAAATATATATTACATATTGGAGAGAAAAAAATAGAATACTCAGATATATTGATAAAAATAATTAAAGCATTTCAAATTTTAAAATAATTTTATAAAAATAGACAAATGCAATCGATAAATATATGATAATTGACATTTTTTAATAAGTGGATTCTATTAATAAATAAATATATTATAAAATATGTGAAATATTATATTTTTATTCTTCTTTCTATTATTTTACTTCTTCTTCTTTATTTCGTCGAGATGGTGATTTAAAATCGATTTTGATTTAAAATCATTTATTTTAAAATTTTTTTTCTCTATTAATTAAATAAGTAATTTTCATATATAATTAGTGTTTTTTTAATTTATTTTTATGATTTTATCATTTAGTGTGTCATTAATTATTTTGATTTTCTGTCTTTGTACGATGTATTTTGATTTTTCGTCTTTGTGCTGTGTATTTTATTTTTCCGTCTTTGTGCGGTGTTTATTTATATTAGGTTAAAAGATTAGTTTCGATCTGATGCAAATTCAATCTATGACTTTAGTGCTATTAACGCTACAAATCTAAAGATATAAATATTTAAGACATTTCAATAAAGTTATATTTATAAATTTATGCAATTTATCGTTTCATGTTATTAACATGAATGCTCTGAGTTTGTACACATATTCATCTTTTTTTTTTTTACATTCACATTCTGGTTCTTAGGAGAAAGAAACTCTAGTAAATCAGAGTTCGTGTCGAGAGATACAGACACTGACCAAATATTATTTTCACTTAAAAATCAAATTCGATATTCTTTAAATTTTAAATTTATTAATTTTAAATTTATATTACAACAATATACTCTATTAATTAAATAAATGAATATTATTTATTTTTATTAAAAAAATCACTATAAAAAAATAAATAAAAAGATTATACTAGACTAAACTATAACTGGTCCAAGCACCAAACTTAATTAATTAATGTATATTTATATTCTCTTTTTCCATAGAAAGTGTAAACACGCAAGATATTCCACATGTAGTAATCACGTTTTGAACCAGAATTCAATCCATTTTCACCCTATTTTGCATCGTAATCGTAATTAATATCAAAAAATCTTAACCGCTAATTAAAAAAAGGTTAACGAAATTTACGTAATCCATCCACAGTTTTATAATTTAATCAAGTTCCGTATTAATTAAATTTCTATAAGTTTATGTAATTTAAAAATATTAGATAATTGATAAAAAAAAAGACAAAAATAATAATACATGACAAATTTACACTATTAATCGATCACAATTTTATATAAAAATAAATTATATTTTCATTAAATTTTTTTTAATAATAAAATTATTTATTTATTTTTTATTGAATGACACTGTGAAATAATTTTATATTATTTGATATATATAAATTAAACTCAAAAACAAACGAAAATCTGAAGAAAAAAAGTACTAGTTTTGACCTTATTTTGAAACTAAAAAAAGAATTTAAAGAGAGATACAGAGAGAAAGATACGCTATGATCGCGCCACGTGGAAATAAAGAGAGAAATGAAAGAAAAGCAGTTAATGGCAGTTAGAGCGGTGATGAGTTAGTTAAACACGGCCAGGGGTTAACTTAAGCTTTTTAACTCAACCATGGTTAACTCTCTCTATTTTCATGTTTATTTCTCTTTCTTTTTTTCTATATAAACTCATCTCGCTCTTATTTCTCTTTGGCTCCATTTTCTTCTCATTCTTTTCTTTCTTTACACACACTGTGAGGAACAGAGAACACGAGCACAGAGAAAGCTTGAAGCTGAAAGCAACAATGGAGTTACGGTTTGTATCACAGTTCGTCTTCGGCATTCTCGTTATCGCGCTTCTTTTTTCTCTCACTACCAATGCAATCGATCACAAAGAATCGAGGTGATTAAAGTTCAAGCTTCTTCGGCTCTGTTTTATGAGATTTATAAAATTTTCTCAATTTTCATATTTTGATTTTTAAGATTTCGTTATTTGAATGTGAATGTGTTTGTGTTACGTTGATAGTGTTGTTGATGGAGAAGAGAAGTTGCAGATTCAGAGCTTGAAGAATTCGTCAATGGCGGAAAGGTTAGTTTTCGTTACTTTATTTTTGCTACTATCACGATTTTTGGAATTTGTTGTGATGGTTGAAATCGGAGCGTACACGTGGCGTAAATCTATTTACAGCCGTTCGATTAGAACTGTTGGACATAGTTTTTTTATTTTCTTAGTTTCAGATTTGGAACTTAATAGTAATAAACAGTAATATACTATATGCAGTCTTTCAGATCGGATCTGAAAAATCGTTGTTGTTTATTCTGTTTAATTAGAAGCTTTAAATGCTTTGATAGTTAATTTTGTCGTTAGTGACTTAAACGGTGTCGTTTAGCTGATATTTTTTGTTTCGTTTTGGTTTATCAAGCTTAAGTGACGCTTTGAACGAGCATGCTGTTGATAATCCAGAGGAACTTGCTTCCATGGTAGATACGTAAGTAATTCTATTTATGCTTCATTTATTTAATTATTCATAAAAACTGAGTTGTTTTTTTTTTTTTTTTTTTTTGTGATATATTATTTGTGATCTTATTTTATTTAATGTGTCATGTGCTTGATAGATTAATTTAAATATATATTTGTTTCCTCTGGTTTCTGAGAAGATGAATCACATGATTATAAACTAATCTGGTATAGCAGATTCAACAAAGTCTATTATACATTTCTCTTTTTTTTCCATATAGTTTAATAATACTGAAATTCATCATTTAAAAATAAATAATATATGTTTGTCTTTAGTTATTAGGATGTGTACTAAACAAGTTTTAAAAAGTGATCCAAGCATTAATATTTTTGAAACCGAAAAATTGCAATTTAATGTGACTAATTTAATTTCATATGGTTCCGAAGAGTTTGCATTTTCTTGATGGTGACAAAAACTAAGTTTCACTTTAAACTGCAGTTGTGGACTTATTTTAAGATCTTAATTTAGTTACAAGACAAAAAGAAAGAAAACGAAATTAATATGAAGATCCTTCTTTGGGAATTTAGTTCTATTCTTTTTTCCATTCAAAGAGTATTACGGGAAAGTAAACATTTTTTTTGTTAAGAATCAACGTCAAGTCTTTCTTATCACGTTTGGTTTGTTGTAATCAAAGTGAAGCAATGTGATTTTACAAATTCACATGTTTTTGCAAAGTTATTGTATTCTATGCTAAGTTTGAGACAGTCAAACTTGAATTCAAACATTCACTTTCTATTGTTGAGCCAAATTTACACAAAAAATTGTGCTTATGTTATTACAAGGATAAGATGTAGAAGTATTTTTTGGAATTAGTTAATGAGGTTTATAGGCATTCCTCGTCTAAATAAAAATCAACATGAAAAACCACACTGCCTAAAAGTTGAAAATTATACACACTCAATTTCGTAAAAGACTTGGTACTAGTATTATTTAGTCTTTTTCATCTAAATAATTATTGTTATTCTTAAAATATTTATTTAATATTTTTGTTTTATTAATATTTTTTCTTTATTGAATTTCATTTCATTTTTATTAATTATAACTATAAAATTTTAATAAATAATATTAATTTTTATTTAAATCAATCTATTTAATAATTATTACGTACGGTACATCTCAATCAGGTACCAATAATTTCCTAGAAAGGACCCACGATTTTCCCACAATTTATTTTCAACTGACATACCACATAAATTACTATTTTTAGTCATATCACACTATTAAATGGGGGTAATAAAAACACCTTTTAACACTTTCACTTCAGTAGCATTCATCTCATAATTTCTATTATTCTACAAAAATAATTTTAAGACTTATCGTATTTAAAATTGAAGTTAATAGACATGCATTAAAAGTGTAAAAAAATTTTATATTATCATCTAATAAAAATATAATATTCTGTCATATCATATAAATTATTTAAAAATTTTAATTTGAATTAATAGAATACATAGTCGTTATTGGTTAATCGTGTAAATATATATTTTTTTTCTTCTTTAAAATTCCCTATTTGACGACCTTTGTATTCTTTGATTCCTTTCACATTCATGCATTTGTATTCTCTTACTCACGACGGTTTAGATCTTCAAATTAATTAAATCTCATCTGATCTTATATAATTAATTACTATAATCTTGCTTTATTTAATTCTTCACGTTCTGAAGTTCCCTTTCATGTTGCTTAATGAGTCAATAGCCATGTTCTTTGCATATGGGATCATTTAAAACTGAAGAAGCCAAACTATTTTATTTGCCAGTCCACCCACATGCTAGTGTCGTGAGATCCGACCATTTCGGTCATACTAAATTTCGTGTCTTTTTTATTTGATTTTCCTCACCATGATGTACCTAAAATCCAAGCTTCACGACTTCAATCAAAAAACAAAAATAGGATAGGATCATGGCTTCAATCAAGTAATTTGTTTCATATATACTTTTGTTGCTGTATACTAGATTGTTTTATGTGTATACTTTGATTTAAAGTTCATCCCCATGCATTTTTCTTTAGTGGTCCCTCCTAAACACATGTCTTGGCGGAGATTTGGCGAAAGTTACTTTCTCTAGGCCATTTTGGTTTACGAAATTTATATAGTACCAGAATTTAATATTGGGCTATTTATTTATTAGTATCACAATTTCTAATATTTTTTTAATGCCATCTACCCCTTCTACTCAATCTAAGCTTAACCAAATCATGAATTTCAAGATCCTCAATGCTTAGAGTTATGCTTGTTATCTCTTGTTTGTCCTTTTCTACCTCCCACCAACACAGATTTTTATACAATTAGACTTGAGTACTGCTGGATGAAAGTCAAAATCAGTAAATCACTCTCCAATAGTCATGAATAAAATAACATTTAAAAGTTAGTCGGCAAAACTTTATCCATTGTGTTACTGTTTTTCTTTGCCTTGGGCCAAATAAAATGTTCACCAATCCAGACTATTAGGAATTCAAACAGTTCTTTGTCCCACATCATCCAACAATGTAGGGTAAGCCACATGAAGATGCTATCTTTCTCCAGCCTGTCTACAAGCACAAGTTCCAAACAAGCATCTCTGGTTTAACCATAACATTTTCTAGATATATAGTTGTATCTAAGCTGGTATATCATCTGCTATCTGACACGTCAATGAGACCCCCATGAACTTATTAAATGACCAAGATTCAGGAACTTAATAATAATGATAATAATAACGCTTTCATCACCGACACCTCACATTACTAGACAGAAATTACATCTCCCCCAACTTAGCATTTATTTCTAGTAGGGAACTTCAAGTTATAGAATGATGCCAACCCTCGTTATTCCGTATACACCGTACTATCATTCTACTCGCATTCATAATTGTTGACCCACATGACTGACCCCCAGTCTCATCCCCTCATGAGACATCAATGATAATTTCACCTTGTCTACTGTCTTACATATCAAACTGTTAATCATTGATTGCGTTCATGTTTTAATTCAGTTCTTTATAACTTTTAATCAAGACAAAGGGTATATTAAAATAATAATGTGATGTTTTATGATAAATTTCCACCAATGTTGAAACAGGACTATACGCAATCATACAGAGAGAAGGAATCTGAATTTTTTCTCATGTGGGACTGGAAATCCAATGGATGACTGCTGGCGCTGTGACAGGCGTTGGTCTTTCCGGCGAAAGAGATTGGCTGATTGCGCCATTGGTTTCGGTCGCAACGCCATAGGTGGCCGTGATGGAAAGTACTATGTTGTGTCGGACCCAAAAGACGATGACCCCGTGAACCCAAAACCAGGCACTCTCCGTCATGCCGTTATTCAAGATAGGCCCTTATGGATCGTGTTCAAGAGAGACATGGTGATCACTCTGAAGCAAGAACTGATCATGAACAGCTTTAAGACCATTGATGGTCGTGGTGCCAACGTTCATATTGCATTTGGAGCCGGCATTACTATCCAGTTTATCACCAATGTCATCATACATGGCGTTCATATTCATGATTGTAAGCCTACTGGGAATGCTATGGTTCGCAGCTCCCCTTCCCATTTTGGATGGAGGACAATGGCTGATGGTGATGGCATTTCCATCTTTGGTTCCAGCCATATTTGGATTGATCACAACTCTCTTTCCAATTGCGCTGATGGTCTTGTTGATGCTATTATGGGTTCCACTGCCATTACTATTTCCAATAATTATTTCACCCACCACAATGAGGTAAACTGAGATTACCTTTCTTTCACTGTTTTAAGCAACATTAATAATCATATATACTTTTGCCTTTTTTGTTACTATAGTACTAGTACTGTACTACTTTTTAGTTATTTAAGATATTATATTTAGAGGTTTTTTATTTAATTTTACATCTAGTAAACAAATTGAATAGATGATTAGAGTCACTCTTGAGATTAATTGAGTTCAAAATTATACAGGTTATACTATTGGGTCACAGTGACTCATATGTCCGTGACAAGCAGATGCAAGTAACCATTGCATACAACCATTTTGGGGAGGGTCTTATCCAAAGGATGCCTAGGTAACTAATATAGTATTAGTAACATATTATGGCTTCATAGATTGTGTCTTGTTCATGCACTAAATGGATTGTTTTTATCGATAATGCAGGTGCAGACATGGGTATTTCCACGTGGTAAACAATGACTATACCCATTGGGAGATGTATGCCATTGGAGGTAGTGCTGAACCCACAATTAACAGCCAAGGAAACAGATACCTTGCTCCTCAGAACCCTTTTGCTAAGGAGGTAATTTTCATACAAGTGCAATGTTGTTTATAAAAAGCAATATGTTGATGATGCTGATAATGATAATGATAAACTTTAAAATTGTGAAATTTGATGTGGACAGGTAACTAAGAGGGTGGACACAGGGTCCGGCATATGGAAAGGTTGGAATTGGAGGTCTGAGGGAGACCTTTTGCTAAATGGAGCCTTTTTCATTCCATCAGGAGCAGAAGCTGGAGCAAGCTATGCTAGAGCCTCAAGTTTGGGGGCCAAATCATCTTCTTTAGTAGGCTCCTTAACCTCAAGTGCTGGTGTTATTAGCTGTCGCAGGGGTGGCATGTGTTAATACAAAACACTATCAACAATCAAAGGAGTAAAGAGACAATCATTAAAGCAAACTCAAAAGAAAAAGAAAAGGAGACATAGAAAAACATAAAAGGAATGGAAGAAAGAAATATTTTCATTCTTTTCTCTTATTATTGCATTGTTATATAGATGTATTGGACTGGATTGGATGAGTATGCAATTGCAGTAAATTGTTTATCTTGCCAACAGTTAGATATTGGGGGTAAAAATTGTACATTTTTTATAAGAACTGTTATTGGATTGATAACAATGATTGCTTAGAAGCCCTTTCTCACTTTTGGAGACTGGCTATTGCAAGAGATTTCCCTTTAATTTTCCAAGGGATTCAAAATCTATTTTACTCTCTTCCTTTGTAGTTTCTTTTTTTCTTCCTATATGTATCCTCTGCTATATGGTCTTTTGACCGCGAATAGTACCCCTCTATTGTGTTTGAGTGCCATTCATTTAGAAAAGAAAACACTTTATTTGTCCCAAATGAAATGGGCTATAGGAATGTATTGATGATATAGTTGGTGTTCAGATCAGAATTTATTTCTAATACTCCTTTCTTATTTGTATTTCTTTCCTTTTTTTTTTATGCAAATTATACTCTCCATTTAGTGCGTGGATAAGATGATATACAAGGGTTAAAAATTCTTTGTGCCCCATGAACCATGTGTCTCATGTGAAGAGAATCACTGATAGAGAGTGACGAAAATCATATTCATTACAATTGTACTTTAGGCATGATTGATGACGAATCTATTTCTCATCTTTTTGGTCGATGTTTTTATTCGAATTGTATGTGAATTAAGGTTTTTAATTGGATTGGCAGTGGGATGGAATTGTCTTTCTTGGAATTGGTGTCTTTTTCTTCATGGTGAGAAAGTGAAGAATAAGATGAAAAGATCGATCATCGTTGTGATTTGGTTCGCATCTGTTTGGAGCATTTGGTTGATGCGGAATAATGTTATATTTAAAAACTTTGTTTTCAATTTTGATGATTGTATGACGATGATTGTCCTTATGTCGTCGACTTGGTTATCAGCTTTTTGTAAAACAGTTGATGGTGGTAATTTCTCCGTTTGAAATATTCTACCTCTCTTTTATTTTAGGACGTAGGGGTTTTCCTTGTTGTGTTTGGATGAATTATATCTTATACTCCCATTTAATAGATATTTGCCTATTAAAAAAAAGTAGAAAGCTTAGGTGTATTTATGAAAATTTTACCTTGTACCCATAAAGTTATCCTCTATATATATATATATATATATATATATATATATATATATATATATATATATATATATATATATATATATATATATATATATATATATATATATATATATATATATATATATATATATATTACTATTTTCACTATTCACTTTGACTCATGCGAAACTGACAAGTGTGAGCTCATTTCTGCGAACTGGATAACACATAACGTAGAATTTTGGTATGTGCATTTTCTTAACGGGAACTCTATGATGCATGATATTCGATTTTCATTGCTCAATAACCGGATATCTATTATAGCCTACATCCGGTTTGTTTTTTATAACCGGATAACATAGCTTTGACTTTTCCGATTTATACCGTTAACCAACCGGATAACCTAGATGCGTGTATTCCGGTTTATATATATATATATATATATATATATATATATATATATATATATATATATATATATATATATATATATATATATATATATATAACAACCAGATTTTTATTATAGTAGTTATTCAGTGCATTTTTAAATCTTTTTTATTATGTTAAACATGTGTCATTCCTCTAATATGCGATAAAAATCAGACATGCATTGATACCACTGAAATATTTTTATCAACACAATGATTTGCTACAAAAGAAGAGGCAATAAAGTGGATTAGGGAGGTTGGAATCAAGAATAAAGTGATAGTTATAATAACTCGTTCAGATACCAAAACAGGCAAGAGAGAAAGAAGTGATAAAGTAATATTTGGTTGTGATAAAGGTGGAAAATATAAAGAAGGAGATAGTGAAACCCAAAGTGCTAGTAAGAAATGTGGTTGTCCTTTCAAAATTATGTCAACACCGTCAAAAGATGGTTCTGGATGGAAGATAGATGTAAAATATGAACTTCACAACCATGGGTTACCTAATACATTTGAAGGTCACGCTTTTATAGGTCGACTAAATACAGATGAACAACAACATATTGTTGATTTGACAAAACATCATGTTCTACCAAGACACACACTCTTGTCATTGCAAGAGCAAGATCTGGAGAATGTCACTCTGATCACGCAAATATATAAACACAAGAGTAAGATACAGAAAGACATAAGGGGGCATAGAACGGAAATGCAAATTTTGTTTAAGCTGATAGAGGAATCAGATTATATATACTGGAGAAGGAAAAAAGATGATTCAGAGGTTGTGAGAGATGTTTTCTGAGCTCATCCAGAATCAGTGGAGTTGTTGAATATGTTTCCTATTGTGGTTATTATGGATAGCACGTACGATACAAATAAGTATATGCAACCCCTGTTTGAAATAGTTGGTTTGATATCAACTGAGTTAATATTTGTTGTTGCATTTGCTTATATGGAATCATAGCATACAAAAATTTTTTGTTGGGTATTAGATAAGTTAAAACAAATGTTTACTAAGCAGAGGTTTTGGCCACAAGTGATGTTGACTGATAGAGATCTTACTTTGATGAAAGCAATTGAAACAGTATTTCCAAAGACAATTAATTTTCTTTGTCGATTTTACATCAACAAAAATATGAAAGCGAAGTGTAAGGAATATGTGGTGGATGACATACGAGAGCCGATAGAGAAAATGTGGTATGAACTTATAAGGGTTAGTGATGAGGTGGAGTACCAACAACAGTTGCAACAACTTAGCATGCATGTGTTGACTTTAAAGCATTTATTGATTATATGAAAGATACATGGTTGTCTCTACATAGACATAGATTTTTCGAAGCATGGATCAATTAAGTGTTGCATTTTGGAAACACCACGGCTAATAGGTATAATTATGTTAATATAACTCGATTTTAGTCATAGTTTGTTTATATTATTAAAACATGTACTTACTTGTTTTTTATTTTATTTTAAGGGTTGAATCCGCACATTGAAAACTGAAGCAAATGTTGGAGAATATTTTAGGTGATATGTGCAAATGTTGGGAGGCTATGAATGACAATCTCAAGATACAATTGGGTAACATTAGAGCTTTATTACAGAAGAGTTTTTATAAAGTTGAGCATGGACACACTAGTCCATTTTACGGGAATTTGCGTGGATCAGTATCCAAAGCTGCTTTGAGGCATATTGCTAAAAAATAGGTGGGGGTTGACATTGTCGGTACAAACACCCAAAAGTGTGGGTGTACTCATAGAAAAGTATATGGGTTACCTTGTGCTTGTGAGTTAGGGAGATACACACTTAGCGGTGAGCCGATACCAATTGAGGCTATTCACATCCATTAGAGAAATTTAAGTATGAAAGGCAAACAAGAGGTAGATGCAGATGATGGATCAAAGATAGACATGACCAATGCAATTGATGAAATTTGGAAAAAAAATTCAAGTCACTAGATGTTGTAGGAAAAAGAGTATTAAAAAGTAGGGTGTGTGAAATTGCTTATTCCACTACAACAAAGATGTTGCCACCGCCTAAAAAAATAAAAACCAAATGAATGGTGAAGAAGAATGGGAAGAAACCTATGGGATATGATGTTTATCGTGACCCTTCATATCATGAGGGTGTTGATCGAGCATACTCGAGTTCCCAAAAATCTTCAAAGAGGGTATGTTCACAATTATCCCAAACCTCAAAGAAGAAACTATCAAGTAATTTCATTGTACAATTTCCAGAATATATCTGACTATTTATTGATGACATTGTTGATGTCTTGAAGGAAGGAAATTGTGGGTTTAGAGTCATTGCATCGTTGCATGGTTATGGCTCAGATTGATGGCCAATTGTTCGTCGTGATTTGGATAATGAACTTAAAGATCCTAGAAGCAAGTTGTATGAGCAGTTATTTGGAGCCCGTCTTTCAGTAGTGAGAGAATCTTTGATGATATCATCTTTAGGTCAGAAACCACAAGAGAAATGGATGACATTCCCAGATATGGCTTATGTAATAGCTAATAGGTATAATGTGATTGCTGTTTCTTTGGGTTATTCTTCTTTAACTTTCTTTCTTATGACGACTTCACATTCACCTAATGTGTCTATTTACTGTATTTACTGCATTTGATATGTAGACAGAAATCATTGGGTACAGGTAATTATTTGTTTCATAAGTTTTTTTGTGTTTCTTAAAATTATTTGTTTCTTAAAATTTTTCGTTTAATCTTAATTTCCTAAATAGATAAACATGAATAAAGGCTTTCCGTTACCACCCATCACATTTGATTGGAAAATATTTGACACAAAAGATGCGACTTCTTGAATGGTAGGATTTGCCAGACGACTACAACATTGGCAACACCTTACACTTGTGTTGCCACAATATATTAGGCTATAATTGTAATGTGTTTGTTTTATTTTGGATTCTGTTGACAAATGACTTCATGCTAAATTTTGGATTTTGCTGACATATGACTTAATGCACCATTTTGTATTTTATTGACATATGACTTAATGCTAAATTTTAGATTATATTTTAAATTTTGGATTATATTAGAATATCATAATACCTTATTTTCAAAATAGTGCACAAAATAATATCATAAGTCACATAAAAACACACAAGTCTCAAAATAGTGTACAGAATAATACATAAGTCTCAGAATAACGAAAAAACAAAGAAAATCACGCGTCAGACTCATAAGATATCTGTCCTCCCTGAGGTAGTGGTCCGTCCTGAGCTACATGTAGTGACCAAAAAATCTCAGCGAATTCATCGTATCTGCATGGTGACGTTGTAAGTAGCGACAAAGCTCACATGAAATATATGATAACCGTTGGTTTGATGGTCCTTCAGCAT